TACTTGAAAAGAATGACATTACTCATAACTAATTCAGTAAAAACGAGACACACTGACTCTAACCTTTCTTTAAGGTTTCAGCACCTTATCAGAATCTTGATTTTGCTATTAACGAAATAAAGCCTCATACTGTAACATCAACTTAATTAATACAATGACTCCCTACATTAATAAAACTGGATGTTTACATATGTCTTCTCCCTTCAGGCTTTTTTAAACAAGTGGTTGGGACACAATTTTCAGATAAAAAACAACTAGCGTATAGAGTGGCGAAGACCCTCCCCTTCCGGTGGACCTCCATGGGACCTTATTTCGGAAAAAATATGTATTGAAGTCAATGGAGAGAGAAAGATTATCTTTCGATCCCGTTTGAATTGTGCCACAAATTACACATATGATGTTTGTCAATTTAAAAGATAATTTTGCAAATCAAAAAAAAAGAAATATGTCGTAAAACTGTGAAGTAACATATTTTTTTGTGTGAAACGCTCAATGAACTACATCTATTGCACAACAACACACGTCACCAAGATGGCCGTCACTACTGTCTTGTCAAAAAAGGGATTGGCTACCCTCACTATCACCACAATGAAACACGTCCAGAAGAATGTCATGCAAAGCTGCCTGCCTGCCTGCCTAGCCTGCCTGCCTGCCTGCCTGCCTGCCTGCCTGCCTGCCTGCCTGCCTGCCTGCCTGCCTGCCTGCCTGCCTGCCTGCCTGCCTGCCTGCCTGCCTGCCTGCCTTCCTTTGATTCTCTCTGAATTGCCTGATCTTTTTAATGTTTAATGTCAACCATTTGTGCAGATAGCATGAAGTAGAAAAGATCGCCGATGCTAATGTAGCGTTAGTGTTAGCATTTCTCCCCCGGGATTAAATGGTGTATTATAGAATGATCACACCGGTGTGACAGTACTCTTCAAAGGGTTCACGAAATATGACTACTACTCTTACTGTTTAACATTTTGGGTTACTTAATGTTACTTCATGTTAAGGCTAATAAAAATGACAAGGCTAAGCCGGCTGTAATGCTAACTAACGTGCTTGCTACTAGCTAGGTAGCCAACTTGATCCAGCCACTCCTGGTCCTTTCATCAGACGGGAAGCGAAAGAACGAGCAAGACCCATTGCTGGTATGATAACAACCTGGTACTAAGCACACAGGCATCTTGTTAAAGTTATCTTATCTTAGCTATCTCTATTTTAGTGGAGGAAACAAACATATGTGACATCACTTACGCGACTCTGGGATTTGTAATCTTTCTTGTTGCGTAGTCTTATATTTCAACAGTTTTACGACAAACTGTGACTTTTTTGACATGGAAATGATTTTTTAAGATTGACAAACATCATATGTGTAATTCATGGCACAATTCAAACGGGATCGAAAGATAAGTTTTCTCTCTCCATTGACTTCAATACATAATTTTTCCGAAATAAGGTCCCATGGACCGGAAGTAGATGGGCGTGACTTTGCCACTCTATTGCGTTCCAGCAAGCAATAACCAGAGTTGGGTGTAACGCGTTACAAAGTAACTGTAATAATATTACTTTTGTCGGTAACGGGAGTAGTGTAACGCGTTACTTTTATAATTCAGTAATCACACTACTAATTTGAGTTCGTCCGAAGAATAGACAGCAATGTGACGGTGAGGTGCAAACTGTGTCCAGGCCAGCTGTTATACACTGCTGCAAACACCACGTCAAACCTCAACAAACACCTGCAAAGAACACATGCTAAGGTGTAGCTAATAGCTAAGGACCGGACCCCCGAACCCAGAGTGAGGATGTTGTGAGTCGCGGCCGCCGACTCCGAAGCGGCACAAATTAGAATTTGGAGGACCGGTAACCAAAGCAGAGATGGACAGGCTTGTAGCATCCTTCATAGTAGAGGTAATGTTGCCCATTTGCACAGTGGAATCACCATTGCATCGTTCAGAGATATACTGCGCAAAATACAGATAGCAGGAGACAGAGGACAGCCATAGTCAGAGCTATCTGGATCAGTCTTATGCGACAATGGAAACTGAACTAAAGAGAACATTTGAAACTTTAGCAGTCTGCGTGATCTGCCTGTAGGGAGGGGCGGGCCGGCCCTGCGAGTAAAGTAACGAGTAAAGTAACGAGTAAAGTAACGAGTTACTTTATGTAGAGAGTAACGAAGTAGTGTAATATATTACTTTTTTTTTTAAAGTAATATGTAATATGTAATATATTACTTTTTTTTAGTAACGACCCCATCTCTGGCAATAACCATGGTAAAAAAATGTCTATTTGTTAGCAACACCTGTGATCACATGCTTTACATTGTCTATGTACTACACCAATAGTTTAGTGGGAATGCTGATACAGCATTCCAACTATCTGTTCTTCAAAATCTTTATTCCGCCCGTTATTTTGCCGGTCTTCTTCTCCCACATTCCACATCGCAGAAACTCCGTTCAAACATCAAAACTTTCAGCTCGGTCGGGAATCGATTGCTATTACTTTTCTCATTCATAACTTTCATAATTCCCGAGATATATCCTATAATTCATCACATTTTTAACCATTGAAGTCAATGGAGAAAATCTTCAGACTTGAACAATCTTCATGCCACTTCAACTGCTAACTGTTCCTTCATACTTTCACTCAGAAACCTCATTCCAACTTTAAAATGTAGGAAAACATCTCGTAGCTTGAAAGATGACAGATTAAGCAAAATAATTAAACAAAATGCCTCTTGAGGGCATGAAGTGACAAAATCTTTCAACATGTCTCCATTAAAGCCCATTGTAATTTCAGGCTGATATTTCCTCACAGCAGCAGCCGCACACCTTTAGTTAATCTGCCAAAAAGGCCACATTATTGACCCGAAAGTACACAAAAAGCACACTTCAGATATTCAAGGTCCTTGAGATGCTTCACGCTTTGAAATTTCACCGATATCTGTTACGGTTCTTCAACAAAACGTTCACATGTAACAGGTTTATCTCATTCAGAACAATGGAAACCTTTGAGCTCAAATATAAACACCTGTGTCATGGAACACAATGATGTCATAACTCCAACTGACATAATTAGAGCAGCAGACTTCAGATAATGGTTAATGGTCCTGCCCTCAACAGCTCTACGTCAATTATGGGGTGTCATCATATGCCGTTTCCATGGAAACGCATCCTTCGCCATAAAAGACGATGTCGCTTTACATTAACTCCTATGAAAATGTTCAAAAAGTGCTCAAACTTCACATGTGTGCTAACAGTCCAGCTGTGATGACATCTGTGTGAAAGTTTTGAGATTTCTTCAAATGCCGTTGCCATGGTAACACAAGGCTCGCCATGAAACACGGTTTTCTCATAACTTCAGTGAAAATACTCCAAACGGCCCAAAACTTCACAGGTTTGGTAACGATGCAGCCATCAACGCATCTAAGCGTATTATGGGGTGTCATCAAATGTCGTTGCCATGGCGACAGATCACTCGCCATGAAACACGATGTCGCTGTAAGTCCAATGGACACGGTCCAATCGTCCCCCAATCTTCACTTGTATATCACCGGTCCATGCCTCAACAGCTCTACGCCAAATCTGAGATCTCACCATATGCCGTTTCCATGGAAACGCATCCCTCGCCATAAAAGACGATGTCGCTATAACACCTATGAAAATGTTCAAAAAGTGCTCAAACTTCACATGTGTGCTAACAGTCCAGCCGTGATGACATCTACAGGACAGTTTTGAGATTTCTTCAAATGCCGTTGCCATGGTAACACAAGGCTCACCATGAAACATGGTTTTCTCATAACTTCAGTGAAAATGCTCCAAACGGCCCAAAACTTCACAGGTTTGGTAACGATGCAGCCATCAACGTATCTAAGCGTATTATGGGATGTCATCAAATGCCGTTGGCATGGCGACAGATCATTCGCCATCAAGTTAGTTCAAAAGTTTGCAGTTCAAATATTCTGCTGCTTTTCCAAGCCTTTTTAATTTATTTTCTTTTCTCATCACACATTCAAGCCCCCAGTGTTCATGTATCATTTCAATCTAAATTCTTCAATTTCTTCTTACACATTACATTTCAGCATAGCAATTCAGCGTCAGCTTTTCAGCATAAAGCATTCCCACTAGCAATTTCTTCAGGAATTGCATTCTCTAGTTATTAATTATTATTATTAATTTCCAAAACCTTCAAAGCTCTCTTGCATGTGGCAGCTCCATTGACGAGAGCTTCCTTCCTTCCCATGTACGAAATTGAAGTGAATATAAGTCGCTGATGGATGTGGTAGCAATACATTGTATAAAATAGTAATTTAACATTTTCCACAATTAATATTCAAAAGGAGTTTTTCCTAACTTGTTGGTGTATCCAAAAGGCGACCATTAATGTGTGAAGGGCTTTTTAGAAGCAATTAACTGTGGAGGTATTGAATATTTTCAAAAAGAACCTTTCACAAAACATTTTCAAAGCACATGTTTTAAATTAAATGTTGTTGTATAACCTGTAGGAGATTATCAATTTGTTAAGTGATTTTGCACTAAACTATATTACAATTCGAGTTACCAACTGTGAATAAATGTCTTTGCCTGTTGGAACAATGCAGCAATAGATACTGATTTTTCAAGTTTTTGCCAATGTCTTTAAAAATATTTCTTTAATATATATATTGAATTGAATGCATCAGTTATAGTCCAAAACATGACTTTATTCAAAATTAAAGCACATCATTTGTAAGCTACTGATCCCCATGTCCTTCATGCCTACATGCTATAACATGTGTTAAGAAATGAATCAATTGAAAGTTATATTATAGTGATGTAATTGTTTTTATTATTATTTACACAAACAGTACACAACTTCAGTCACATTCATTGTTTCCACCGTTAGCTTAGATACAGTAACCGGGTAATTTTTCTATTCAACAAAACTCATGTCAACATAATGGATAATTTAAATGTATACATACATATTACATAATTACCAAACATTTACAATGGTAGGTCCATAAATATTTTGTATTGTGTTATATAGTAAATAAAAAGTTCAGCAGATACAGCAAAGAAACAGTATCTTTCCCAAGGTCTTTGCTGAGAATGTCAAGTATCTATCAAGAGCATTGTGAACTACAAAAGGTTATTTGTATTCTAACATTTGCACACACACAACATACGCTGTTACTTATAAAGTCGCCCTGAGATTGTAGAAGGGAAATAGGGGAGCTAAACAAGCCAATCTTATGGGGTATCAGTCATGAAGAGGAGAAATTGAGTGCAAGAGAATCACACCATAGTGCTTTTCACTCGTTCGAAGATCTGATGGACTTTGACGGCAGGGACACAACCTTCCCTCACAATGGTGATGGTTCCTGTGTAAAAGTGTAAAATAAAAAGTAAAACATAGGCTTGGGTTAGATAGTGCCAGTGAAACACACAGAAAAGAGAGAAACATAATGGGATTTCTCTTGCATTTTACCTTCATCAATTTTGAGGCAGTTGACCACAGTAGAAGCAACAACTTCATTTGAGTCCCCGTCACACAGAACCCCTTGGAGCTTGTGTCCCAGTCGACTGTGGCAAAAATAAGATAGGAGAAAGAATGTGAGTCAATGTCCGTCCATGAAGAATATTCAATCATGACACATTTTGTCTCTCGGGATTAAACTGCTGTAAAAGGACATTCAGAGGATAGACACTGACTTGATGACCATGGTGTGGTGGGTGCTGTCTGGCTCTCCGCTGGGGTTGGCTGATGTAATAGCAAGGGGTCCGGTGATGTCACATAGGTGGCCGGTCACTGTGTGGTCAGGGACTCGGATCATGATGCTGTCCTTAGTGCCAACACGGTCATAAGCTGGACCAACTCCTACACAAGATACATTGAGGTGAGCTGACAATTGATGGAAGACTTGTTAAATGGGTCCAGTAAAGCAGCTGTTAAACTGTTTACCTAGTTTGAAGAGCCAGTCTCCTTTGCTGACGATGCAGCTGATGCCTCCTGGATACACGTTCCTCATAAACTCCCAGAGCAGAGGGCTGAAGGGAGGCTTGGCTGCCACCAGCTGCTCCACATTAGAGATACAAATGCAGATGGGCTTCTCTGCTGGTCTGTCCTTGAGGAAGACACAGAAAAAAGGTTGATGAGTTTCACATTAAAGCTAAATGTGGATTTAATGATTTCAGATTACACTTTAAAATGATAGCAACTACAAGCATTCTTACTTTAATATTGTAGATGTTCTCAATAGCTCGGGGGTTCTTGCAGGAGGCAGACAGGGCATACACAGTGTCTGTGGGAATACCGCACACTCCTCCTTCCTCCAGAAGGCCAGCGATCTTCATGAGGCTGCTGGTGAGTCGAGAATAAGCAACAGGACAGGGCAGCTCTGGAACAGACTCCCACCTCACTTTCTCCTAAGGAAGGCCAAAGAGTTAGGGATAATTTCATGGAATACATTGGATAGAATATTACAGACTATGTAGAATTAGCAACAAATGCAAAAATAGTATCTTAATTGGTTACCTTTATCAAGGGAGGGCCCATAGGCAGAAGTCTATGTGAGAAGATGCAGTTCACCAGTGACGCCAGAGCCCCATATATACAAATTGTTGAAAAAAGTGCAAGCATGGCAACTGTAAAGAAGAGGTTGTCAACATGTTTTAATAACAATATGGATTTGATTTTACAGATTTGATTTTAATTCAGGCCTTTATCTATATTTAAAAAAGGGACATTCATCTCAAAATGAAGCTTTGTCTATACTTACTTTCTAATTCATATGGAAGTCGTTGCAGAGTGGAAAGCAGGAAACAGACCAGAACGACCTCCATGACTGATGTTAGAAACAGCAAAACCAGGTTCCTATAGGCAGCTGACATGGACAATATAAACATGAAAAAAAGCTAAAAAAACAAACTAATGAAATCTCCAAACTCTCTTAAAATAGAATCCTTGACCTTACCAATGAGCATAAGGAAAGCGTTAATGACCAGGAGAGCAATGGCTCCTGCTGTGAAACCGTATGCTGCCTCTGCGGAGAGCTGAAGCAGGTTGCCTAGAAAAGAAAAACGTGGGATCAGAATGTGTGTAATTCAGTCACAACAAGTTTTCTTTTAAACACATGTTTGTCATGACATACCTGAAAACCTAAACCAGGTCCAGGTTGCCCATACTGCTACGTAGATGGTTGGAATGACTGAACCAAAACGACCCCTCCTGTGACCTGCAGCCGGCTGACATAGGCCTGGATGATGGCTCCAGAGATCAGGACCCAGGGGACAGTCAGATGAAGGAAGGCAGGATTCAAACTGGAAGAACGTGCATGAAGAGCTGAGAGAGCTGCAACCCCATTAGAAATGTAGAACAGGGCGTCTGATCCCTGGTCAGTTTGGGGCTGCGCCTCCTGGTCTCCCTGCTTGGCCCTGCAGCACATGAGAGCCTTCTTCAACATCTCAGAGGAGATGGGCTGGGGTCCCACAGGGATCAGAGACTTCTCTGCTATGGTGTTGATGAGACGCGAGAAGGTACAATACAGGGAGGCTGCGGTGAACAGGGAGCAAGCTACACCAAAGAAGATGTAGTATCCCTGGAGAGCAATCTGGGGGATTGTTGAGAGCGTGAGCAGGACGAACAGCAGGTTGTGGATCAGCTCCAGGACATCTGTGTTGAGGCTTCCCACGCAGAGCACCACACCTGCCATCACAAAGAACCAATTCCCCACCATTGCTTCCCTCCCTGAGGCCACTTTGCCGTCCTCCAAAACCAGAGCAGATAGCACAAACTCATCCCAAGCCTTGATCAGCCAATATGTGGCATGAAGACCAAACTTAGTGGTGTGGTAGCAGTCTTGGCGCAGATGGGCGTAATAGCTGGAGAACAGCTGGGCAACTGTGATGATTGAGACCCATGCCACTCCAACACCAAAAGACTTCATGTACCCAAAGCTGTAGAAAGCAAAGATGAAGGGGGCTACAGTGTCACAGAAAAAACCCAAGGCCATCGGCTCAGCATATTTTGTATTTTTCTTCTTCTCTTGGCCAATTCTCTGGGCGCTACCTGAGTTGGTGGTCCCGAGCAGGAGGACATTAAAGAGAGGGGTACCAAAGCCTTTGAGGACTAGACGTTGAGTCAGACCTTTTCCAAGCAGTGCAGCTGAACCATAGATGGCAAAAATCAGAATAAGCAACTCCAGAACCCCAGAGACCACGAGAGCCCAGGAGCTCGCTACCAGACCCACTGCTTCAAAGACTAAGGTGGCTGTGATGGCCCCGAAAACCAAAGGCATGATGTAGTTGACTGTGGCAGAGCAAGGCGAGGAGAAAGGACAGAAGGATGTAGGGGACCAGACCAGCAATGGCTGTCTCCTTTATGGACAGGCATACATGGCAAACTGGGATCACCATGGTGGAGGTCAGAGACATGCTGTGCTCGTGATATTAGTGGACAGGGACAAATTGTTCATAATTTGAGCTGGCAAAGGTATTATTGTTGGGTTTGAGCTGAGGCACCAAAGTAGATTCTGGTGGCACCATAACTGCCCCAAAGTGCAGCGTAGCCAATAAAGGCAGTGCCGCTCAGATGATCGTATTTTCTAAAGGAAAGCATTCCTGCAACTAGTTGGCATACACCACCAATCAGGATGAGATGGACACCTACAAAAAAACATAGAATTGAAATTACTAAAACGAGTTTCGCAGATAGGTACAATAGATACAAATGTATTAATATCAAGGAAACATTTTGTATCAAAGATTGTGAAGAAAAAAATTAAAATAGAAAAGTAAATTACAACAACATCAGTAAATATAAATATATTTTAAACAATTTCAACCTGCTAGGATGTTCTCCACCCCGGCTGGTGCAGTGCCAGTGTGTGCTGTGTGGAAGTTCTGCAGAAGAACGAGGAATGCACTGATCCCATTGGATAACATGCCCAACACTCCTGGTTCTCCATAGAAACTGGCTGGAAATCCATCTGACGCCATCAGGTCTTTGTTTTCAAGCTGAGTCAAAGAAACTAATCACACAGACAACACATCCATAAGTGTATGAACAATTTCCATTATGTTGTGCAATACCAAACGCAGGACTTGCCTGAAATATAAACTGATACTTTTGTTTTAATCTCGATTTACTGTAACAATTGATTTGCTAAAGTAGAGTAGTAAAAAACTCAAAAAGACTCAAATAAAATTATCATGTACCATAAATATTTAGTTGAACACAAATAACAAATGGTTATGTCATGAAATGTAACGTAAGTAATCAAGTACTTACAGTACTCACTCTTATCTCCCTAATCATTTACAGGAACATGAGAGTCTTTGCCCCCCCGCCCGCCCTGTCATAAGTATGCTTAGTGTGACCCACTGTAGCAAGACACACAAGGAATATTATTTTTAAATCCAACTTTAATACTCCAATGCCTCAAAATAAGCATGTCACAATTTAACATTTTATCCATAAATTACACTTAAGATTAGATTTACTGAAATCTACCAAAACACAGATTCTGGTTTCATTATGTCTTATATTCTTTCAGTTTCAATTTGAGTAGTCTATGGTAAAATATTTTCAAAAACAGTTTAACGTTGTATTATATTTCATCTAATGGCAGCTTTTCACCCTGTGTCAATCTTGTTATCACCATCACTTTATATTTGGCATTTTATTACATGTAATAAATTGTTTCTACTAGCTAGTAATACAGCAATTAAAAACAAAGTCTTACCTGGTGAAGATACTCGGACAGAGGAGCTGCTGAGTTGAAGCAGGGATTCAATAAATAAGTCCTCCTGTTTGTAGGAGGAGTTCATGAAAATTCCCCAACTTGAAGTTTGCAACCTGAGAGGTGACATCACTGCTCTTCATCTTAGACAATGAAGTACCACTCCTTCCTCCTCTTCTACCCAGGAAGACCATCCTGGTTATGACGATATTGAGGATGATGATGATGACCACCGTGGAAATTCCATTAAACCATAAGGTGTTGTTATAGATTTGCCCATCCCTGTTTTTTCCAGGTCAGCATTAGAAGCCATTGTGAGGCTGGGACTATATAAGGAAGGCACCTCTGAACCTGAGAAGCATCAGCATCATCTGAACAACCTGTTGACTGCAAAGAGCAACGAGAGAGAAACAGCTGACTGAAGCCATGATCTCCACATTACAGGTAAATATTTATAGATATAAGTATATTTCTTATTAATAGAACATCTAGATAGTCATACATATTACTAAGGCTTGAGTAACTCAATTAGATTGTTAGGTGTCCTTAAAATATTCATCTTAATCCAGTCAGCTCTAAACTAATATAGCTTGCACTAGGTGTTTTGTTCTTGTTAAGGGAGAATTAACCTGAGCAGATTACACACACTGTACCATACCCAGCACAATAGCTTTTTCAAAAGAGTTATTTTCATTATAAGGATGCCAATATCCACAAATAGCTGATTTAATTAAACCAGAGTCTGGCAGAAAATCATTGTGCGTGTGCTCACTGACGGTAATTAATCTGAGATAGTTAAACAATTATTGTCACACTTAGTGGTTTACAGGTGTCAGTAAGGATTTTATTTTCCTTGTTCCTGCAGAAAACCATTCGACCAGTATGGGCTGTCAGGGGGCTGCATAAGTCTGCAGTAGAAGGTAAACTTAACTACATCTCTTTGTCTGAACAAAAAAGACCTCTTTACTTACTCCTGACCTATAATATCCTTTCTCTTTCTCCCTGCAGCCTTGAAGCGCCCGGACCCTGAAGACACAGTCACAGCCAGCTATGGGAGGTTCATCAGTGAAGTCAAGCCTCAGCACTTGTCATCACTGGTGCTTCACCGCAGCAAAAGAATGGTGCTGGACAGCATCGGAGTTGGTCTCATTGGCAGCACTACAGACGTGTTTGAATTGGCCCTGCAGCACTGCCAGGTGAGGCGAAGTCAATAGAAATAACCTGAAGGTATTATCTGATATGAAGCAATAAGACAGATGAAAGCAATTATTGACCTTTGGCAAACAGTAGTCGCAAGTCAGTGCAAGTGCTGTGTGGACAGATCAGATGGGTTTAAAAAAACAACCATGTTATTATTAGGCAGAAGTTCGTCATATATCGTGAGAGGGGTTTATTTATGCATGGTGACCTTTTTCTCCAAATGTCTGTGTTTGACTTGAGCACACACAACTTTTGTATCAAAAATTTCCTTGTGACAACTGTGTTTACCTGTCTCTGTGTTTCCCGCTCCAGCACATGTATGCTCCTGATGACATCAGCTCTGTTTACGGACGCAGAGGCAGCAGGCTCTCTCCCACACTGGCTGCTTTCGTCAATGGAGTGGCTGTGAGTACAAACAGGAGGAACAGATGGGTCACAATTGTCCCCAGTGCACATCAGATGCACTAAAACCATCTGTGCATCCCATCGAAAGATGGGTTGATGAAAATACTGACTTGACCCCGCATTACCCTTCTGTAAAAATGTCAATCATTTTGTCAGCAAACATTGCTTGGCTTTCATACTTTAAGCAGCAGTTCATTTCTGCAGCAGTTACTTTTAGTTGTATATTTTCATTAAAAACAGTAATTAAACAGTCCATTTTCATTTGAATTCAATCTGTTTGTTTTTTGTGTGATGCAGACTCACTCCATGGACTTTGATGATACATGGCACCCTGCCACTCACCCTCAGGAGCGGTCCTCCCTGCTGTGTTAGCACTCAGTGACATGATGCCTAACAGCAAACCCAGTGGCCCTGACTTCCTGCTGGCATTCAACGTCGGCATTGAGATCCAAGGCAGATTGATGAGGTTCTCTCATGAGGCCCACAACATCCCTAAGAGGTGAGCGCCTCAGGGAGTGGGTCAGATTAGTCAAATATAATGTTATTCTTAGGGTTATAAAAACATTTATGAAGGTTTGTACTTACTGGGTCTTACAGTGATTAATTGAACGATCTAAAGCCAGCTTATTATTGAGTATTTTGAATTTTTACTTTACGCGAAGAACAAATATCCACATGAGTCTAAAGAGCCCCATATTTGATTCTGCAGATCCCTGCAGTGTGGTTTACAAGGAGGTTAGTGCAGTGTAATGGGCAGCCTCTTAGTGGTGTCAATGAGCTGTGAAAGGCTGGTTGTCATGTTCATATCAAGGACAGCAGAGCCTCTGTGGGTAGTGTTACCACAATTAGCCATGTGTTCGAGAGTATCGCACAGGAGGACTACTTTTGGCAAATGTGTACACCAAGTCAAATCACCCAACACACTATTTACTTGTTTGTCAAATACTAAAATGGCTTTGAACCATTTTCCTGAAATAAGCTCTCTGAATGTGGAAAGTCTTTGGAAAGTGTACCAGATTCTAACAAACAGGCACCTTTACACAAACATAATGATGAAAAAACACAAATTTGAAATGTTCTGTCCCAGGTAAAAATGGTCTTAACACATTTTAACACAGTTTCTTTCTCCCTTATCACCAGGTTTCACCCTCCAAGCGTTGTGGGGACCATGGGGAGTGCAGCCGCCTGTGCTCGCCTCTTGTCTCTAGATCACTCCCAGTGCAGTCATGCCTTGGCTATAGCTGCTTCTCTCTCTGGAGCCCCAATGGCTAATGCTGCCACTCAGTCCAAACCCCTTCACATCGGTAATGCCTCACGTTTGGGGCTGGAGGCTGCTTTGCTGGCCTCCCGGGGCCTTGAGGCAAGTCCTCTGGTCCTCGATGCTGTTGCTGGTGTGGCCGGCTTCGATGCCTTTTATGAAGACTATGTGCCCGAGCCTTTAGAATCCCCCAATGACGGCCATGTGTTCCTGCTAGAGGAGCAGGACATGGGCTTCAAGCGCTTCCCAGCCCATCTGGGGATGCACTGGGTAGCAGATGCTGCTGCCTCAGTCCATAAGCTCCTTGTGGGGTTGGGCCTGGCACTGTCTCCCCATCTCAAGTCCAAGACATCCTGCTCAGAGTCCCCAAATCAAAGTACATCAACAGGCCATTCCCCGAATCTGAGCATGAGGCACGCCACTCCTTCCAATTCAACGCTTGCAGCGCTCTCCTGGATGGCGAAGTGACCGTGCAGTCCTTCACTCCGGCTGCTCTGATGCGCCCAGACCTCCTCGCTCTGCTGAGTCGTGTTCGCGTGGAGCATCCCCATGACAACCCTGCTAATTTTAACAGCATGTATGGGGAGGTCCAGGTTACACTTGTTGAGGGAGAAATTCTGAAGGGACGCTGTGACACGTTCTACGGTCACTGGCGTAACCCGTTGACCAATGAGAGCCTGAGGAAGAAGTTCAG